CAATTCTCTGTTCTCTGTGTGAAGCGACCCATGCATACCATGTGTGTTGATGCATGTGGCCGATATAGGCAAGTTCTGTAGCAGCATGGCGGTGCAGCGGACTCTGACCTGCCAATCCCTTGATTTAGGGCTAGCCATGGTGGATGCTCAGTTTCAGACTAGCAATGAGGACGAGCTGGATGCAAAGATTGCTGACACTCAGTCGGTTAGTCTTTGATGATAAGCCCCTCAACCCCTAATCACATGTTTATAAACCCTAACTATAAGTTGTTGCTCTTGGTGTCCTGGCTGCCTGAGGAACAGACGAAACTGATCCTGCAGCTCCAGCAGGACATGGCAGCCTTTGATGGGGCTGAACCCCAAGGACTGTGGTGTAGCCTAATCTATACATGCATGTATGTCATGTTATAACGAGTACAACATGCAGATGAGGGTGAGCTATATATATATATATATATATATATATATATATGAGATGTTATAGACACATGTGTGCACATGCATATATATGTTAACATATATACATAGAAACACTATATAATACATACATACACATACATATATAGGCCGGCATGTACTAGATATATACATATACATGTATACATACACATGCATGTATACACATGTATGTATGTATATATATATATATATATACACGTACAACATATCACAGATGCATATATGCATACACACACATATATATATATATATGTATGTGTGTGTGAAACATATCTATATATATGTATGTATATATATATATATAGATATAGATAGATAGACATATAGATTATAGATGTGAAGTTAAACAGCTAGAGTATATAGTACAATTCTTTTTGAATATATAGCTAATTGTATACTTGTGGAACATGTCATATACATGCAATACCATATCGAATCTATAATTATATATATGTATATATGTATATACATGTATACATACATACATACATACATACATATATATATATATATATACATATTATGTATACTAGCTGAACGAAACAAAAGTATATTATAGTAAATATATGCATGCATGTACTCATGCATATGCATGCATATAGCAACACTGCAGGATCTTCTGAAGCTCCAGCTGGTGTACATGAAGCTGTGATCAAGGGTGCCTTCTTGCCAGGCCAACCACATGCTGGTGACCCCTCAAAGACCTCCAAGAGAGACCCTAGGGTTCGAGTGGTTTCTACGCCAGTGAGAAGCACGACTTTCAAAAGGAGACCCACAAGTGGGCCTCAAAGGGCCCGTGCTCTGACACCTACTGTGAGGGAGGTTTCCACCCCGTCATCGGCAGCAAATCCTGGCAAAGCTCAGCCTCCTTCCCCGGCCCCTTCCGTTGCAAGCTCATCCCGCTCGATGTATGAGGATGGAACATACTGGAGGATGCTAGTCTGTGTGGTTTAGAGTAGATGCAGATGATGTGTGCAATGTGTGTGCCAGTGAGAGGTGTGCTGCTCGTTGCGTGTGAGCTCAGGATGAACCGGTACTTCAAACCCAACAAGAAGGGGGAGCTCAAGTGTTCCGAGGAGGCTATGCGCATGTTTAAGGACACGGATCAAAGCAGCTTGGTCTAAATCCTATTATAATGAGAGCTGTGCAATCAGTGGGTGGGGTGGCGCAATCTGAGGGGAGAAGCTGAGATTGCTGCTGCTGCAGCATGGATCGTTCAAGGCTGTCGAAGTCGAGCTGGAGAAAGTTTCTAAGCAGGTGGCCACAAATGACAAGAAGGGTGGATGGGAGACTGAGATCTCGATGGCAGCCCAGGGGTTCACGCAGCTACATGGCTATGCATATAAGCATTACTATAAAGTGTCATCCCTCACCTGCTGCATTGTAGTACCGATCGAAATGTGCTAATCAATCCGAGGACCATGATCGACAACTCCAAGCGATGGGCTACGGCAAGGGGATTGGTAAGGACCAACGAGGTTCACGGTGCTGAAGAATACAAGATCCCGACCAAGGAGGAATTCTTATTCAGGAATGAGGAGAGCCAGTCTGCAAAGCAACATGGATCTTTCCAATGCGAGGCCGGTTGTTTGGACTGGAGCCAGGGCTCGATCGGGGTTTCGACTTGATAAGTTAGGGGATTTAGGTTTTGGGCTCCTGGGTTTCTGCTTCTGGTGTTGCGCTGCTGCTGCGGTTTATTGTAATCTTGTGGGCTTTGCAGTTATATGTCGTACTAGCTAAGGTCTAGTAGTATGGCATGCATGCATATACATGGATCATGTACACCTATACATAGCACTTCTATATATCTATATATATATATATATATATGTAGATGTATATATATATATATATATATATATACATATGCACACACACACACACATGTGGATACAGGGTGTTTAGGCAGTGGTCTTGTTTTGGGGTTCGAGCTATATGTATATATATGTATATATATATATATATTCTAGTACATATTTAATATATATTCTATAGAGGTCCCCTAATAGGGTTTTGATGGTTTAGGTTTGTGGGGTGACAGCTGAGGGAGGGTATAGTTCGGTTGCATGCAAGCCATATGGGCCTATTTTAAAACAGCTTTAAGACCTGATGAAGTTGACGATGTACTATCAGCTAGATCTCGAGCGAATCATGTTCCTTTAAAATGTACATCTGGCTTAAGCACCTGAGATCAGAAGGCCAAGCGAACATGCATATACCGTAATGTACTCTCCAGAACTAAGACCTGCATACATCATGTGGGATTTCCCAGACCCACGTGGGAACCCCAAACTTCAAAAAGCTGAAACCTCTAAGCCACAAATCAACAACCCCAATACATGACCCATTGACCTGCCATATACAAATATCAAACCACAGGTCCTAGCATCCCTAAATTACTTTGAACCCAAACTAATCGTATAGGCTCCTGCCACCAATTTATATGGCAGGCTTCCCATGTGCAACCCCCAAACTGCAAGCCTGTGGCCTCTTCAGGATCCAAGTGGGAGCTTGCTGATGAACTCCGTGACCGAGAACTCCGCCTTGCAGAGCCACAGAATGAACTTATCAATAAAACTGTGCAGGTAATATGGGCTGATCTTGAGAACCCCAGGTCCCCCCTCCAATTGAACTGCTCAGGACCAATGCTACCAGCAGGACGGATGTTGATCATGTTCGAGCTGCTGTGGCTTCGACGGCCAGCTCAGCTAAAGAGAAGTGTCTCCCTGTGTTGCAAGCCAACCAAGATGTGTTCAGTAACTTGGCACGTTGAAGGTGGTGCTCTAGAATAATTAAGCCCCTGGGTCACAAAAGCAGATGCCACTGTATACATATAGCTGCATGGATCCAAGGTGTTCTGGCTGTGTACATCGAGATGACTGGCAAAAAGGTGGACAAGGGCAATGACCTGAAGGAGCTTACTAGAAGTGATCATGGACATGTGTATTGTGATCGATGTACATGCATGATCTTACCCGATAGGACAAGCTGACATCAAATGCCAGCAAGAGGGCGGTCGAGCTTCCCTGCTGACGATAGCTTGCATGTGCATGTGCCAATCACGCAACCCCGACTTGATTGCCAACTTCTATAAACTGAGGCTGGCCTCTGAGCTGAAGCCGAAGGTCGATGAGCTCGAGGATAAGAATAGGGCCTTGCTGAAGTTTCAGGAGGATGCGGTTCTTGATGCTGGGACGCCACCCTCCCGGTTGCTTGGATCATAGGGGGTTTAGCGAGGAAATGTGGGTGCCTTATATACAATGCATGCATATCTGAGGGCCACCAAGCAAGCGCTCCTGGCCACTTATGCACAATGCACTCGACTGGACTTGGCTATCAATGCTATGATGGTGCGAGCGAGGCATGTGTATGGCTTGCATCTGATTTGCAATTGGCATGCTGTGACATTATTCACTGGCAGGTCCCATGCGAAGCCCGCTCCAAAGCGCAAGGACCCTGCTGCCAAGAGCTCAGCTAGGCCTAAGAAGCGGGCCGCCCCGGCTGCTGCAAAGAGTGTCCCGAAAAGGAGGCGCTAGTGAGTTTACGTGCTGCGCCAGTGGCTGGATGTCTGCTTGATAGTATATGTAGGGGTCTTAACTAACAGGTTCATGTAATACTATAAGCTAGCTTAAAGGGCTATATATAGGTGCAGTGCAGGCCTTACCACAGGTGCGGAGTGATGCTTTTGTGCAGAAATCACACAAGTGATGTGCTTTAATTCTTTAGCTGTATATACACACATACCTAAATGGTACATTGTGTGCTAATTGGATGACCATCTGTTGCATCTAGGGAACATCGATGCAGGAAAAATGAATGCCAGTGCTTCGGAAGTTTGTGCAATGCACTAAAGTGGTACATGTACATGCTAGCATATTCCTGCAGCCAGGTCCTGGTGGATCCCAGATTCCAGCCCTGAACCGCTTGGTGGGTGGAAGCTCGACCAGAAAGATGCCAAAGTGCAATCCTTAAGTCCCATCCATACAACCCTGAAACCCTTGCTCTTAAGCTATATCTGCAGAATGCAACGATTGACAATTTTAAATAACCTGAAAGTATGTACCCAACCATTTTATAACTCACCCCTAGACCCTCTGACCTTAAGGCTAGCTTCTGCAAATCCTTGCTTCACAGTTCTCATAAGGAGCTGGCTCCACCCGTGAACAAGAAGATCGTGAGCTCGACCTGGCTGTTGGCACCGAGATTGTATCGAAATATCTTAATGGGGCATCTTTGTTTGCACGCTTTGGTCAGGCTTCCTAGGTTGTGCTTGCAGATTTGCAGATCACTTCTATTGGTGCTTGGTAAGCTCAGGCTGAAACGGCGAAAGGAGCTGCAGATATGGCAAACTTGGTGTACAAGATCGGTGGTAGTGAACGAAGCCTGGCTTAAACTAGCTTACATGCATGCACGTTGGCAGTTGAAACCCCTTGCAAGCATGAACCTTAGGAGAACTGGACCTCCTGTATCAAATCGCTGCTACTGGTCAAAGCAAAACCAACACTTGCAGAAACCTGCATCGACTGATCCATCGGCAGGGCATGACAATCCCGGTTGAACTGAGCTTCGTTGAGATTCCGGTTCGGAAAAGGAGGCCATTGGTCAAGAAGATCAATGTTTGGTACCCAGTCATTTATCCAAGCGCTTGGGCTGCCTTCCTATTGAAAGAATACAGCTTTCTTGTTCTGGGTGGGGTGGATCTACAAGAGATGCAACAATGGCAGCAGCTGTTGTCTGACTTCTGGTCCGAGCACAAGCTGTATGATCCTGGCCATGACATGCATGCACCCATGGGGCCTCCACCCACCCACACAGTTCCTATCTACATTCATGGTGACGAAGGCCGGGGGAAGTATAAACTTCCGATAATGGTGGAGGGGTGGCAGCCATGCATCTCCTATCGAGGAACAAGCTTCAAGAACAGCAGTGGGCATCTTTGGTTTATATTGCATATTATCAATTTATTTGCATGTGATCAAATCAATGTGGCTCCCAACTTAGCTAAGGCACACCTACTGCACTCGTTTTCTCTTCACTGTGCTGCCTGCTGAACTTTACTGGGGCGACTCCACCCTGAACAAGTTGAACAAAGCCTTCGCAGAAGACCTCATGAATCTCTTTACAAAGGGAGTCACTGTTTAAAGCTGCAATAGCCAGGTTGCCTCCTGCTTGGAGGCCCTTTTGACTTAGTAAGTCTACTTAGTATCCCCTAGAAACCCCATTATAATCCCCATAACCCACCTTACTAACCCTACTTACTAAGTCAAAAGGGCCTCCAAGTGATGTTGCGGCTGCATGCTGTATTCCTCGCCTCGGTGGAGGAACTGTGCATCTAAGGTTTCAACTCCGAGAGGGCCGATCACTTTGCACTTTGCAATGGTGGGCCTCAAAGGTGATTGGGTGTACTTGAGGAAGGCAGCTAAGGGAGAGCCGGGGAGAGACTGGTGCATTCTAGCATACCAATGTGCTGTTACATGCATGACTATAGGCTATGGCTTTGAAGACTGGATGGCAGTGCAAGCGCAAGTGCCACAAATGCAGCAGTCAAGACTCTTGGTTTGTGCAATTCATAGTATGCTTGCAACCCATAAATTAATGATTAGCTTAACTGCTACTAAGTGGGGCATAGGCCTATATATATCTGTGTGTGTGTGTTTTAGAGATATAGCCTCATGATCATGCGGTCAGGAGTGGTATAACTTCGCAAAGGATGCCCCATGGCGCAACGAGGATGAGGCCGAGACTCCTTTCGCTGACGACAAATCATCGCCGTTCTGGGATGTGCCTGGGATGTCGGATCCACAACGAGCTCTGGTGGATCCAGCCCACACGTGGCACATTGGGTGGCCTGGTTTCAAATTAATACGAAGTCCATACTATCTAGACTCACTCTTTTCACAGGCTCTGCTTCTAGATGTATATGTGCAACTAAGAGTGGGACGAGACTTTGTGGTTTCGGGCCTGGTCTTGCTCTGCAAACTTGGCCTCGTTCGTGGAAGAGGACTACAGAGCCGTCTCACAACTGCATACAGTCACTATGCTGCTTGGTGCCATGAGAACAAAAAGTCGACCAACATCAGATCCTTTACACTCTCAGCCTTCAAGATTGCAAAGATGCTTGCATGGATCATAAGATTAGAACTTTCCCAGCTAACTAATTTAAGTTGATATTTGTTTTATAAATTTAATTCGCTTCCACAATTTGCAATGACAGACCTTGCAAGGAGCCAGAAAAACTATCCAACAGCAACTGGTGGAAGGGGGGCTGATACTGCTATTATGACTTCTTGGTTGGAGCACTATATGACAACAATGGATCCTTCAGCTGCAATTTTAAGCTAGCTCAGGGTGGACTTGGCTCATCCAGCGATGCTGTCTTGTGAGGTATGCTCTGATGAACTCTTCTCGATGCTCTTTTACGTGGTGCAATGTGTCAACACGTACTTCCGAATCCTGCACCACCGTGGCTTGTGGCTGGAGCCCTCTGAAAGTGCAACGGCAGCTGAAGCGTGCCATGAGATGACAGCCACGTGGTTGCACACTATAGCTATTTAAAATTTTGTAATATTCTACTAAGCCGGTTATTGGCTATTATTTATGGGGCCCACTCAGGCAGGATACGTCTGCCTTGCGAAAGCATGTTGGTCAAGAAAATTTCTGCTGTTCCGAGTCCGGCCAAAGATTCACATGCAAGCCCACTTTGGGATTCTTGGTCTATCCTAAACCGGTCATGCTATGTTGGCTACCTATAAGTTAATGCTGTGCCCAGGGACACTCTGCACTTTTGTGCAAGACGGGGCATACGAGCAATGAATCCGATGAGCCGGGAGCCTTATACCTACAGCTAGATGCATGCATCCGCTGGAGATGTGAGTTGGTAAGATCTGTGCATATCTGTGCTAAGATGCCGCATGCTGGGCAGACGAAGACTTCATAGGCAGGATTTCTCGTGTCGCCCGAAAGTCTGGCACACATGCCTTATCGTGCGCTATTCGTACGATGCAGAAGATATTTTGTGCTTTCAAAACCCAGCTCGAGAAGCATGACCGGCGCTTGAAGTAAAAAAGCTGGGCATCTGGCTGCTTCCCCCGTCGTCCATGATCCCGGAGCATCATTCACATCAGTGGGGCCAGAAGAGGAACGAGCAATTATTACAAAGCGTGCGATTATCTTCCAAACGTGCTAAAACCTATCTAAGTGTACATAAAATCCCTGAACCAAACTAGCCGAGCAGAAAAGTAGAGCGGGCAAGAATAAATGCTCGAAGGGTTGTCCAGGTAAGTACAAGAAGGACCCCCCCCCAAAAAAAAAAAAACATGGTATAGATAGGTATCAAGCTTCTATGTTATGTTTCTACACCCTATAAACCCTAGACCCCAAACCAAAACACCCCAAAATCTTCAACTAAGTTTGTGATACCTTGCGACACCCTAAACCCTACACTCTAAACTCTAAACCCTAAACTCTAAACCCTAAACTCTAAACCGTCAGGCCAGGCGCAGTCTCCACTCTCACCTTGCACTCTCACCCGATACTTTGATTCCGGGCCCTCTGTCCCAGTCTTGACCTGTCGATCTCGTGGAGGGTCGGAACAGATGACTCCCGAGTGTTCTGTGGAGTTGTAGAACGTATATGTATTCAGGTAGTGCTTCAACCCTACACCCTAAACCCCTAAACGCTAAACCCTAAACTCTAAACCGACACCCTCAACCCAAATCTCGAACCCTGCCTCCGGCCAACACCGAGCAATCCAAGCACTGCTCGACACAATGCTTGTATTGATGGTCTTTGTATAGGCTAGGATTTAGGCTTTAGTGTTCGGGGTTTAGGGTTCAGAGGGGTTTAGAGTTTAAGGCAATGAACATAAATTGGGATAAGTGTCAGCAGTGTGATTGTGATTACCAGACAAGCAACGCACGAACGGCGCCACGTGCTGTGAGCGCATGCACGCTGCGACCCCGTACAGCTCCGGGGCCACAAACAATGCAAGCTATTGTTATTTTGTACAAGTAATACTTGCGAAAATGATAATGACCATGATAATAGCAGTGATATTGATAGTGACTGACCGTCATGATCTTCGCAATGCTTCAGACTAAAACCGAATGAATATCAATACAGTTACGGTGTATCATCCTGGGCTGGAAAAATTCGGGGTAAGGCTCTCAGTTTGAGGGCCAGGTGGGCACCTGCTACTAGATGAATTACTTCTGCTTTTGTGAAGTTTGACGACGTAAAATCAAAGGACTTCGGCTGCAGGGCTGTGCGACATGACCCGCGAAAATATTATCGTCGTCGTCGTCTTAACACGACGAGCGCAGCAATTACAATCATGACTACGATCATACTTTCACAACCGACAACACGGTCGTGTGCATCAGTGTCGCCACAATCAAAGACGGGAAAAGAGTAGGGGAGTAGGAGCATCACCAGCCGCAGCATCAGCAGTGGCTGTAACAGGACCGTTATATAAGTCTGCCAGCACTCTGAACACTAGCGTTAAGAGCCGGACCGCGCCACCATCATGTGTACGATCAGCAGCACCATCACCGCCCTCACCCATCACCATCATCATCACCACCGTCACCATCATCCTCATCGCCGTCATAATCATCGTCATCATCATCATCGTTATCATCGTCATGGTCATTGTTATCACAATCGTCGCCATCGCCTCATCATCACTAGCATCCTGTCGTGACTCTTCTTCTACCAATACTACAGCCAGAACGGTGATCACCTTTAACACCAATGCTAGTGATACCAGGCAACCTTCGCCCATTGGCCCATGATAGTCGTCATCATACACCTGTTATATACATCTGTAGACATAATGTCATCCAAAATGGTAACAGTATTAAGAACAGGCAGCCGTCGCAAACTTACTACAGCCCCTCCGCCGCAAACCCCAGCTTATGGGACCTTTCAAGGGGATTTAAAGCTTAGACACTTTTCTTGGACCCGTCCCTTAAGGATCACATAGCCAAGCAACAAGCATGGAGGGCGGGGGGCGGGTGGCGGGGGGGTGGGGAGGGCGGGCGGAATAGTAGCAAGACTGTTATACCCCACAACCCTATACTAAAGTTTAAACGCACCTATGCCCAAGCCAATGTCTGTAGTAACCACCCTTGTAGAACCTTCCGAACGAACCCACAGGAAATAACACTGTTCTAGTTACTGCTGCCCCTATATGACACCCCTGTATTGACCTTATAATAGCACCTTTCAAGAACTTTATATCCCAATTAAAGAATATCCGGTCCGATGCTATGCGTTTACCCACAGGCTCCATCGTAGTTCCTTTGTAGTTCCTTTTTGGGATCACCTTATAGGATCCTAAGCATAAACCACAAGAAGTGTTGAAAGCAGCTTTTGTGGATCAAGAAAACCCACCGGGGTCGCAGCAAGAAGCGCCAAGAGGCCGAAAGCGGGCCTCCTGAGCAGCTGACAATCAAAGCTTCTTACAGAAGCCCTAACCCTGTGCGTGTACCACTATGGGCTATTAGACCTTATGGGTACCTTAATCTACCCTTAATAGGGTCCTAATAGGGATCTTTAGGGTCTAATAGCCCATAGTGGTACCACTAACTTAACTAAACTATAGAGAGCTTCGGATTAAGGGGTCCTGTATGCATTGGTAGCTTTATACTTGATTTTTCATGTAGAGTCCCCTCCCATCATCAGGAGTTCTGTCTTGTTGGAGAGGCTTCGGCTTGAGCTGAGCTGGCAGCACTAACCTGCTGCGTCAAGGGAACGAAATGCCCGCAGGCATGTGTAGGACCTTCGTGTTTTAGGGCATAAGGCTTATGGTTTCAGCGGTTATCGGGTGTAGTGCAGGACTTTGAACTTAGGACACAGAGGCAAACGATCGAACGATGGAGCACTTCAGTTCAAGTCAATCGCAGGACTGCTCGCATGTTGGAGCTTGCATTGCATGTGGTGTTCACAACTATGGTTGTGTCGTGCGGCACTTGAAACCCAAGATTGTTCTACAGTCCTCGTATACCGGGAGGCTTTTACCCTCCCTGACGGCTCTGACTAGAGACTCGGCCGCCGGGCTTGGTCAGAGCCTCGAGCGCCCATGTAAATGGTCAGCGGCGCTCTCGGCAGTTTAGGGGTTAGGGTTTAGGAGTTTAGGTGTTTAGGGTCACAGTACTGCAGGTAGTTTTGGGGGAGTTGGGTACTTGGACCCCCGGGTCAAACCCTCACCCCAACCACCTTTCCCAAGCAGATACTATAGAAGCCCGACTATATGGAACAGGGCCTTGAGGGTCTAGGGTTAGCATCGGCTGGGGGGCTCTACACTTCCTGCAATGCGAGCCTTGTTTTCGTATTAAAGTATGAAAGGGGTCCTACGGTATAGTATCAACATTCAGCCCTAGGCCCTAAACCGTATCAGCAACGGTTCAGTCTGCCGGGGCGTCTCCACACGCAGCCTAGACCGTGATGGAACCAGAAACTCCAAACATTGAATTGGGGCTGGGCAAGCTTCGAATATTACACCCAGGTAGTTGCCAAGATAAGCGTACATATTCGTCTTTTATTTTGCCCCAAACCGGAAACCGTCGTTGCGTTTTGTTGGCCGCTATTATATTGCGGGCCAGGAGAATTGAAGTCGTTTATTTGCACGCTTTATGGACCTTGGATCCTTTATGGCAAGGGAATGTCGGAATAATGACTAGTTAGAGCATCTCCTCTTGTAATCCGGACATTCATGCCCGGTTTAGGGTTTAGGGTCTGTAGGGCTTAGGGACAATACAGTATCGAATTAAATCCTGTTCCAATTACACAGGCCCTTGTATTGCTGCTACTACTGCTTGGCTGACGGCTCTTGGAGTTTCTGGGTAGAGCTGCCACCTTTCCATCCAAGATCCAGCTATCCACGGCAGTCACACTGGGCAGTTGAGCTGGCTTAGAGAGTCGTTTTTAGTGCGTGGGCTTTAGGGTTTAGGGATCATGTGGGAATCATAATGGCTTAGGCCTGGGTTTCTACAGCGCTTCTGATCCCACTCCCGACTCTTCAGTTGGCGTAGTTCTCCTCATGACAAAAACAACGATCCACTATTGCCATTTCTAGATTGGATGCAAAAAGATGAATCTCAAGGAAAACTGTCCGAAGAGGTCCAATATCCATCGTGTAAAGTATGAAGCTATATACCCTGTTATTC